AAATTATTCCAAATATATAATTTCTTAAATGTGAACCAGCTGGTTATAAAAGTTAAATTTTTATATAGTTTAAAACTATTATCAGTTCAATATTAAAAAATATTATTTAAAAATTACTCCAATCACGTGACCAAGTTGTGTTCTCCCCTGACAGTCGTATCTTTGCCATCATGGCGACTATGTGTGTAAGGTGCCAGTAGTGAATTGTGTAGTTCAGTAGGCTAGTATGGACTATATCAAAAGGTAGTGTTTCTTGTTGTTCTTAGATCATATTCATAATATAACATGCGCGTATAGTTACAGAGTGCTGGTTCCGTTTGCTCCTAATTAAAATGGATGCAGAATCTGTGGAAGCTAGGGTCAAACAAGTAATAATCGTCAAAAAGTCAGTTTTAGATAAGGACATAGTGTTGCTGTTGTAGTTTCATAAATTTATAATAAAACCTAATTTAAAAATCCGAAAATTATTTTTAATCATTAAACTGTCAACAACTATGACAAGTAGTTTTGAACTTAAAATTAATTTCTATCAAAAATGAAATGTTCGAATAAAAGTATCGTATAACTCATATGTGCTTCTCTATTAGAAGATCTCAACACTATGTACCTTTTCAAATTTAATTATAAACTTATAGTTAGATAAGTTATCTAATTATCAGTTTAATTAAATTTGAGGAAGTACATAATTTTAAGACTAATCAAGAAAAAAATACAGCCAATATTAGTGTAAAAAACAATTTACTTTTTATAAAGTATTGATTTATTTATATAAAAAAAACCATTTTCACAGAAAATATGTTAGTTCACATTAAACTAAGATATATTTCTAATAATCTTATGTCATCTACATCTTAAAATATGTAGATTAATAATATAGAGGCGAAATGTAATCTTGCAGTAAAAATAAATTAACATTCAAATAAGATTTATTACAAAACTATGAACTTATTATTAGTTACTTTTCACACTATGTATGCTAGGCGATATCCAAAACTAGGATTAGT